TTCTATTTTTTTATATATATATATATATATATATATATATATATATATATAATTATGAAAACATGAAATATAGCTAATTTTTGTTAATTAGATTTCTTGTGAAATATGATCCAAAATAAGACATTACATTTTGAGAAGTGAGAGTGAGCTCAGCATTCTCCTCTCTCTCTCTCACAGCGTCTCTGAGCCATTTGTGAATCTTTGGCTCTTTCTCCCTTCTTTCCACCCCATCGTCTGGCACACTTTCAAATCCTGATCGCCAGCGGAAATGTGTGATCAATGCCGGGCAGAGATCGGTAACGGTGTCGGGATACCGATAGCTCCTCTACGCTGCTATATTTGTAGGCAGGCACGTGCACAGGTAGGGCTCAACCTGTGCAGAGCACATGCCCTTTTTGTCCTTACACTCCGAAGTGCCCTTTTTTTTGTTTGTTTTTTTGTTCTTCTTCAATAAATCAATGCTATTGTTCACCCTTTACGTCTGTCTGTCTGTTTTGCAAATATATTTAGCGAATGAAAGGTATTAAAAAGAGTTTGTGACTAAATCTTGTTGGATCCGCTCAAACTGTCAGTAAACCTCATAACTCCACCCCCTCTATCATAATTCCCTCCGTGCAATTAAGCAGGATGAAACGAATCTCGGAGCGTGAACGTGTAGGATGGAGAAGGCGTGGATTGGAATTTGGCTGACATCACCAGCTCTAATTATGGTGCACACGTGCCTTCTGAGGATAGTGTGTGTGTGTGTGTGTGTGTGTGTGTCACGGGATAGGTGACAACGTGTGTCTAAGAGAGAGTATTTCAATGCATATGTGTAAGTGTGAGTGTGTGTGGCTATATATGGGGTAAAGCATCTAAGTTTAATCTCAGGTGATTCATTTTATGATCAGATCACTCAAATCAAATCATTATTCAAAGACTTTGAGCTTAGCTCGGCATTATACGCACTCAGTGTCTCTGAGACACAAGAAATCGGCCTCCTTCCAATCACAACATCATTTATTATACTGTAATGTATGTAATAAATGTAGTATATATTAGTATTTGATTGTAAAAACAGTGTATGTATAACTGTATATAACGTATAACTGAATAATTTCCATTTTTTTATATATATATATATATATATATATATATATATATATAATTATAAAAACATGAAATATATTTCATTTGTCATTAAGGGGGGGGTGGGGGGTGCCCTTTTTCAGTTTCAGCACATGCCCCTCAAAAGGTCTGTGCACGGCCCTGTTTGTAGGGCTTCTCGTTTGCCATGAAAGGAAGTAGCTTGTGTAACCCAAGCCCAATGCAATCTGCGACAGATGGAATATATACAGCACAATCGAGACAGGAATTCATGCAGGGCCAATGTATGGAGTAAAAATGACTCACGCGCACGACAGATGGTGCACCGACATCCGTCCTTGATAATGCCTTACTAAATGTAAACACACGTAAAGGTACAGGCCGGGGTTTACCGCACCTGATGTGATTTAATTCGATTATACCACGGTATGGAAGAGTGATCTGTGATTACTGTGCACAAACATCACAGTATATTGCTGTTTAAAAAGACTTGGGAGTGCAGAGCTTGAAACATGCATGCACAGGGCAGATTACGATAGTGGACAGTAAACTCCTGCCATTAGAAACACTGGGAGTGAATCCAGAGCCTTAATCCCAACCCAACCCACCGCGCAAACCTCCATCTGTTGCCTGAGAGTGCAAAACCAGAGAGAGAGAGAGAAGGTGCCAAAGACTGGAGCGGTTGGGGGTGAACAGACAGACTGCATGATGGGCCACATTCAACCTGAACGACTCCCACAGGACGACAGAACCTCTTGTTCATCTGATATCCAAGACGGGATATTTTTGTCTCATGTCACTGGGCCTCAGGACTTTTTTTTTTAGTATTCGGGTGAATCTCAGATCATGTGCAGGTCATATTTCAGCACAAAATCAAAGAAACCAATAACACATATTTTGTTTAAAGAAAATGAATCCTATTTTTACTTCTTTTCTTTTCATGACTATTAAACACATTTAAATTTGAATTACCTTAATGCAAAACATCTGATTAGTTATTTGTGTAAATTCTGTATTTAAATTGTATTTATAAAAAATCTTAATGCAGGAAATCTCATTCTTATTAGTGTCAGAAAGAAAAAAAAAATCACAAATGGAACTTCATACTATATATAATAAATCATATTCATAATATATATAATAATATATATATACGTATAGGGAGACAAAAAGACTGATATATTATTAGTATATATATTCGTATTTGATCGTTAAAAACAGTAATACATTTATTTATTTTTTAAGTGAAAATGAATGTATTACTGTTATCTGTTTCTAATGAGAATCAGTTTTGAGAACACTGGAAAAACAAATTTCTTAAAAGTCCTAATAATAGGTGTCATTCTCTTTTGCAAAAAAAACCCAACAAAACAAGATATGTCAAAATATAATTTCTAAGAATGTAATTGCTAATACATATATTTTCACTGTAAATACTGTTAATTCAGGAAATCTCATTCATATTAGTGTCATAAAGAAAAAAATCATACATTATTTAAATTGTATAGAAATTGTACATAACTATAGTATACTATAGTATTTGATGTACTGATGATTAAAAAATTACTGTAAAGAAAATCAAATGAGAATCACATTTGAGAAAAATGGAAATTACAAATAATTGTAATAGTCCTAAAAACAGGTGTCGTTTTCTTTTTGCAAAAGAAATAAATATAAATGAATAAATATTTAATTGTTAATTTAAATAAATCAATATTTAATTGTTAATGTAATTTGTTAATTGTGGTAAAATGTGACCTGGGGCCTCATTTATAACCGTTGCGTACGCACAAAAACAGCCCTGAAAGAGGCATACGCTACTTCCTGCGCAAAATTCAGGATTTATAAAAACAAACTTGACGGGAAAATTTGCGCACCTGCACGCAAACTCTGACCCATGCGTACGAACGCTTTTTCCTTGAGTGAGAAAATTAATGAAGTAAAAACAATGATGTCGATATATACATTTACATTAAATATTCCACTCATATGGAGATAAGGACAGAAATTACATAAAGTCATTACGCAGAACTTAAACCAAAATTATATGAATTTAGACATCTTTGTAGTAAATGCGCTTGATCACTTTTCCTCTTATTGACAGTGAGGAGTGCTATAGGTGCACAATAATTCATCTTTAAACTGAAGTGCAGATCTCATCTTATGAGAAAATATTTTTTAGCGAGAACAATGATCAGTGGTGCGCACTTACTTCGATATTATGGCGGACACTGCTGGATTCAGTGGACGAACGGTCTATTGTCCGGATTGAATAGGACCAATGATAATATAATAGGCTACTATTTGGCCAGTGTTAAAGAATGAGATCAACTCTGTTTCTAAAATATTTATCTGATAACTATTTTAAACAGTTTTAGTTTTTATTTTTGTTTTTATCTTTATCTATATTTATTCTAAAACATAAGGATATTGGATGATTTTTAGAAATAAAAATTAATGTATGGCACAAATGGCATTTATAGTCCGTATCTCATATTTCCTTAATGTCTTTTATCTTTGACGGTGTTAAACATGGTGTCACGTGGATGGGAATATGCATGGAAATGATATGCAGATGAGGTCATGCATAGTAAAACTAGGCGTTGTAATCTCCATATATGGTGATTTCGGGGAGGAGACGGGGTGTAAATGCACGTACGCACAATCTTTCTCTGACTGGGATTTATAAAAGGATTTTTGCGCAGGTTCTGGCGTACGAATGTTTTTATAAATCTGAAAACATTTGTAGGATTGAAACACACTTTTAGGATGAAATCTACCTAGAGTTTTATAAATGAGACCCCTGGTCTTTGTGAAATGATTAGACAAAAAAAAATATTCACCAAAATACTTGCACGTTTATTCCTGAACAAGACTGATATGAATAAGCTCATAAGGCATCTTGTGGCTCCAGTTGTGCATGTAAAGAGATAGAAACAGGACAGGAACAATACGTCAGGATGAGGGCTGCACTTCCTCATCGCGTGTTTCTAGCAGCAGAACGGAGCTTGTGGCACATGGGAGCTGAATGCTGTCATCTCACAGACTCGGGGCAGAAAAGCCCGGCCAAAGCGGACAGCGACATCAGCGTGTTACGTAACCAGGCAATGCTTAAAGAGAGCCTTGACATAACGGTCCGGGCATGCTCAGTGCGTCTGACGGCCGTGTCAAAACAAATTGGCTTAACTGCGAGGAAACGCAGGCAAGCTCAGACTGTGTCGAGTCTCGGGGGTTTGTGGCTGCGAGCGACGCTGCCACTGTTTTAGTGGAGATCACAATCCACTTCATATACATACAAACATTATTTGTGTCATCTGTAGCTCCCACTGTCCAGAAAACAAGCTAATAACCTCAAAACGAGTCAAGGACATGCCTGGATCATATTTCACCACAAAAAATATTTAAAAAATATCATTTAATATGCAAAACGACAACAATAACAACGAAACAATACTATATTTATTTGTCATGTACTAATTTATGCTTATTTAAATTAAAATATATAAGAATTATTCAATTAAAATGTTAAAATCATGGCATTAGAGTGTTTTTACTTCAATAAAATAAAGTCATATAAATAAATAAAATTGTAATATGCAAAAATGGTATGTCTTATCTGCCAAATACTAGTCTATGCTTAATTAAATTAAAATGAATCCAAATTAAAAATGTATGATTTAAAATAGTATTTTTTTAACTGTAAGAAATAACTAATTAAATAAATCGATTAAATCTATTTTGTAATAGTATTTATACTAACTTATGCTTATTTAAATGAAATTACATTAAAAAAATTAAATAAAATTAAAATAGTATAAATAAAAACAGTATTACGGTTTTTACTGCAATAAATAAAATCTATTTTTGCAATATTCAAAAAAGAATGGTTATATTGATTTGTCAGGTGCTAATTTATTTTAAATTAGTTTTTTACTGTAATATCATAAATAAACATATACGTTATATATACATATAAATTATACATATACATATAAATTAATTTATAATTAATAAATCAATTGCAAATAAATTGTAATATGCAAAAATATGGTATATTTGTCATGTACTAATTTATGCTTATTTTATTTAAAATAAAATAAAAATGTATATAAGTTAAAATCATATGAAATATAATATATGAAATGTAATACAATAATTTCATATGAATAATATATGAAATTATTGTATTACAGTAATTAGAATCTAATGAGAAACACACACACACACAAAAAAAGTAAAAATTTAAAAACTAAAAGATTGTCATTCGTCTCATTTTTTTTCCTTCCACTTTTGAGTGCTTTTCATTTAGCGTCTGAAATATCCAGTCGCAGCACGTCTGAGTCGTTATGAAGTCCAGGCCGGATGGCTGGCCTGATTATGAGTGACAGCAGCTATCCGGGTGTCACTACGCCACCCACCGCGCGGACAAACGCTAACGAGACGCAATCGCCGTCTTCAGCCACAGTGAGACTTCAGGACGTGACTGTCTGGATTCACTCCGGCAAACTGCTGCTCTCCACTGAGTTTATTTTAAGGTGAAGAGAGGCTAATTACACTCCAAACAATACCTAATTATAACACAGGTTAGGTCTCTACTGGATGGCAACAGCGTTTGGATGGTGTTAACAGTATGTTAATGATTTTTGTGAAAGGTTTTCCTACCTTTGACCTCAATGGAAGCGTTGGCATTGGGAGCAGACTTAAAGGTGTAGACGCACATGTATTCACCCGAATCGTCTGTCCTCGGTTTACTTAACCTACAAAACAAGAAACACAAATCACTGCCAGCTCAAAACTAGAACATCTTCACAAAACTGTTAAAGGAACAGTTCACCAAAAACTGAAAATGCCATGTTTACTCCCCCTCATGTCACTGCAAACCTGTATGCTGTTTTATTTATTCAGCGAAACAATCCAAATCTGAAGAATTCGTTTTCTCCCATATAAGCTTATATTGCTTGCACAATATTTCATGTCTCCTGAAGCCATACAGCATCTTTGTGTGAGGAACATTTACATTTATGTCATTTGGCAGATACCTTTACATTGCATTCAAGGTTTACATCAATGCATGCATTCCCTGGGAATCAAACCCATGACCCTGGTGTTGCAAGCATCATGCTCTACTGTTACAGTAAATGCAGGACCAGAAACAAGGTTCACAGAATTCTGACTTCTTTCTTGCATTTCAAATCTTGCCAATCAGATGTCTTGCAGTTCTGACTTTGTTTCCATCATAAAATGTAAAAACAATTGCAACTTCTCACATATCTCACTTTTTGTCTTACATCTCACATTTTTCTTGCAGTTCTGAGTTTCTCACAACTTTTTTTTTCCAGAATTGCAAGATATAAATTCTGAATTTCTCACAATTCTGTGCAGTTCTAATTATTTTTGTTTCAGTCACGAAAAAAATAAAAATAAAACATTAATTGCGACATTTTATCTCACAGTACTTTTTTTCACAATTGCAAATTAATATCTTCCAAATCTGCATTTATATCTTGCAATTCTGATTTTGTTTTCTCAAAGTTGCAAGAAAAAATTCAGATAAGATAAACTCAAAATTTCAGAATTTTGAGATTAAAAAGCTGCAATTACGTTGTCATTTTTTTATCCCATGGTAGAAACAAGCTTCCATAGAAATCTTAATTTCATTCATATAAAAGGCTACAAAACGCCACTAATCCTGAATATATATAGTTTCAGCAATTAATTACTTCAGTTTCTGTCTTATCACATATTTCATATGACTTCAGAGGGCTTAACATATAATATACGTCGTTATAGTTCTTATATACATGCATGCATACATAAATGTCTTTTTTGAGTTTAAATGTTTTCACTATAAACCTGTGAAGCAAAGAGCAAATGAAAAATAAGGTTTGGAATGACATGAAAGCATTTTTGTGTGAGCCTTTGCTTTAAGAGCTGATATTAATCACTGAAAAGACACTACATTATTAATCATCAGACAGAGAAACCTATTATGACAACATTTTGAGAAAGCATTTTTCAGGCTGTGTGGAGATGTGCTTTGGGAGCTTGATTGCGCAGAGCTAGAGCTGTCTGTTCTGAGTGCAAGCGTCTCTGCGGAGCCTGTGACATGCAGTCTGACAGCAGATCGCCCTGCGCCACATCACTCTTGGCCGGCTGACGAGACTTTCTGAAAGCTCTGGTGGGGGGTTTCGCTCTGATCAGACGTCTTACTAAAGAGATTTTGTGCTTGAGCATCCTGATTGTCCTCAGAGATTCCTGCGATTGCTACACTAAAATCCTCATCTCAGAAGAGCTCCATATTACAGACTTCACAGGTACCTGAAATACAGTTTGAAACAAAGCTTCTTCTGAAATTTCACCCCAAAGTCAAAGAAATAAATAACAAGACATTGAGAAATCAGATTCTCAAATCCAAATAATTAAACATATAAATTATGTTTTGATTAAATTCAAATGAAGTCTGGTTTAGGAACCACTGATTTTTGCATTTTGATATTTTCATTTTTTGTGCCATGATTTTCATAACTGTCCTGTAAAAAATGTTTTTTTAATAAT